GCGTGGAGTACCGTTATGGCCGGGCCATGCCGCTCATCTTCGTGGGCGGGGTGCCCCGCAGCGGCACCACGCTGATGCGCGCCATGCTGGACGCACACCCCGAGGTGCGCTGCGGCGAGGAGACGCGCATCATCCCGCGCGTGCTGGCCATGCGCCAGTCCTGGTCCAAGTCGGGCCGCGAGAAGCTGCGGCTGGACGAGGCGGGCGTGACGGACGAGGTGCTGGACGCCGCCATGCAGGCCTTCATCCTGGAGGTGATCGCCAAGCACGGTGAGCCGGCGCGCGTGCTGTGCAACAAGGACCCCTTCACGCTCAAGTCCTCCGTCTACCTGTCGCGCCTCTTCCCCAACTCCAAGTTCCTCCTGATGGTGCGGGACGGCCGCGCGTCCGTGCACTCCATGATCACGCGCAAGGTCACCATCGCGGGCTTCGACCTCAGCAGCTACCGGGACTGCCTGACCAAGTGGAACAAGGCCATCGAGGTGATGTACTCCCAGTGCATGGAGGTGGGCAGGGACAAGTGCCTGCCCGTGTACTACGAGCAGCTGGTGCTGCACCCGCGCCGCTCCCTCAAGCTCATCCTGGACTTCCTGGGCATCGCCTGGAGCGACGCCGTGCTACACCACGAAGACCTCATCGGCAAGCCGGGCGGCGTCTCCCTGTCCAAGTGAGTGCAGCCCCGCGCCCCTCCAGGGTGCCAGGCGGGAAGGTGGCTCTGCCTCTCCTGAGCTGTGTGGCCTTGGGCAAGTCTCTGTACCTCTCTGAGCCTCAGCCACTCTGTTATAATGGGGGGAGATCTGGCTAAGAGCAGAGCCTTGCCCTGGATCTCCCACCTCATAGCTCTGACATTGACTAGGTTGCCCTTGCTCTCAGCCCTTTTCATTCTCAAAAAAGAAAAAGAAAAAAAGGAGGTGTGGGGACAATCACTCTTTTTTTCCAGGAGAATCAGCAAACTTTATTATGCTTTGTACTGGGGCACTAAGGAATAGGCCAGGCATGGTAAGGACACAGATTCTAGAACCAGGCTGTCTGGGTTCAAACCCCAGCTCTGCCACCTCCTGGCTGTGTGACCTTGGACAAGTGACTCAACCTCTCTGCGCTTCTGTTCACTCACTTGTAACAGGGGAGTATCATCTGTCTTGCAGCCACCTGTGAGCATGTGATAGGTTAAGACACGTTGGGTACTGTCATGAGCCTCACTGTCACTACCATTCAGTGAGTGCCTGCGAGGTGTCAACATTACATGAAGCCCCCAACAGGCCTAGTCTCCTTTGATCCCCATGGGCAGGATTTGGGAACTACCCTGATCCCCGTCTATGTGGATGGCCGAGAGAAGTTACAGGCCCGCGGGCACACAGCCAGCGACCCTGGGATGGGATGGAACCCAGGTCTACTGGCTGGTCCCTGCTGGCTCTGTCCCCACTGCTCTAGGGTCTGGAGCCGAGCTGGAGGCTCGCAGCGGCTTCTCAGATGCAGTGGGTGCCCATGAGCCAGGGGCTCCACTGGTTGGAGCAGGGCTGGGATTTTGTAGGTGATGGGATACAAAGATCAGATCGCCACAGGAGTACTGTTTATTGTAGAAAATCAGGAATATGCAACAAACAGAAAGGTCTTCCTGTGTCTGTTGGTCCTTTTCAGGGCAGACAACTGGAATCCTGTTGAACACGTTCTTCTTTTCTGCTTATATATGGGACCACTTATCCATGGCACCCAGAACTCTTCTGTGCCATCATTTTGAATGGCTGAGTAATATTCCACTATAGATGACATGTTCTGTGTAACATCCCCTATTGTTGGGTACTTCGGTTAGTCCCAGTCTTATTGATGTTATCAAGCATCATTCCCATTCATGTTCTGGGATGTATCTGAGTTAGTTCCGCGACCTGAAGTCCTGCAGACATGAAGGTCGAAGCAAACGCCATGTGGGTATTTGCGGTCTCTGGCATCCTGGTTGATGAGGTTTAGGTGGAGGTCCAGAGGCCAAAGGAAGGTTCTTCCCTCCAGCCCACACCCTCACCTTCCTCGTCTCTCTCTGCTCCCAGTCCTGCCTTCCTTTTGCTACATCTTTCTGTCCTCTTCCTCACGCCATCTCTTAGTTGGGGTGGAAGCATCTAGAAATGTGCCTTTGATCCTACAGGTTCCCCACCCCCCATCCCACAAGGCCTTGGAATTGTAACTGGTGACATCTTTGTGTTCTGATGACTTGGCAGACCAGGAGAGTCAGGAGCGTGTAGGAGATAATGGTTGGGCTATTATAAGAGCAAAAAAATTGAGAACAACCTGAGTGTTCATCTTCAGGGGAGGGGGCAGAATAAGCTGTGGCTTTTTCCGACCATGGAATGCTACTTAGCCAGTAAAAAGAATGAAGCATCAGGTGAAAAATAAGTTGTAGAGCAATGCATATGCATTGGTCATTTCTATTTTAAAAACAGCAAACAAAAATCATAACTTTCCCCTGTGTGTCAGAGAGAGCTAACCTGTATTGATAACCATATACTCTATTAAGAACTAACTTTGTATCAATTCATTTATTCTTCAGAATAGCGCAATGAGGTGAGTACTATTATTATTCCCATTTATGAATGAGGAAATTGAGGCTCAGAGAGGCCCTCTGTGAAGGCCACACAGCCATTGTTGATACAGCCGACATTTGAACCATAAGTCTGGCCCTGAGTCAGCTCTTAACCACTCTATTTAAAAGTGCAGAGAAAGAATTGAAAGGGTGTGCTCCAAATAGCTAAGACCAGCACTGGTATGAGGCTCTGACTGGGGGCATTTTTAGCTTTACCAATAGTGTTCCATCTTTTATTTATTTATTTTTTTTATTTAAGGACAAAAATACCCGTGTTAGTCATAGACATAAACATTAATTTTTTTAAAAGTCAGAGAAAGGCTGGGGATGCATCTCGGTAGTGCTTGCAGAGCATGTGTAAGGCCTCATGGTTCAACCCTCAGCATTGCAAAAACAAACAAATAAATAAATAGATGTTAGAGAGGTCAAGGAAGCAGGATTTATGCACCAATAGTATGCACTGCCGTTTTCTTCCGCCTCCCACCACACACCCTGCCCCATTGCACAGAGAGGTGTGAGGCCACGGGTCTCACCTGCAGGCTCGCAGTCGAGGGGGCAGAGGTGGCCGTGAGCCCAGCCCTCTCACCCTTTCCCCAGAGTGGCCGAGCAGGGCGCCTGCCCCTGCCCTGACCAGACTGTCCTCTCCCAGGATAGAGCGGTCCACGGACCAGGTCATCAAGCCTGTGAACCTGGAAGCGCTCTCCAAGTGGACCGGCCACATCCCCCGGGACGTGGTGAGGGACATGGCCCGGATCGCCCCTATGCTGGCCCGGCTGGGCTACGACCCGTATGCAAACCCACCCAACTACGGCGACCCCGACCCTATCGTCATCAACAACACGCAGCGGGTGAGTGTGCCTGTGGAGACGTGCTCCTGGGCTTCCGCAGGAGTGGGGCCGCCAGCCCCTGAGGACGTACTCCCTCTGTGATTCCTGAGCTCTGGCTTGTTTCTGTCTAGGGACGTGGTGAATTCATGACTGCTTGTATTTCCATTTTTGCTTGGGCTGCAGGGAAGCTCAAAACCAAGCCAAGCGCTGTGGCACCATCTTGTGATCCTAGTGACTGGGGAGGCTGAGGCAGGAGGATTGCAAGTCCAAGGCCAGCCTCAGCAACTTAGCAAGTTCTTGTCTCTAAATTAAAAAAAAAAAAAAAAAAGGGCTCAGGGTGTGGTTCAGAGTTAAGCACCTCTGGGCTCAATCCCTGGTACCAAAACTACAACAGCAACAAAAAACCCAAATGGGAGCCCTTCTCCCACCCTGCAGCTGAGAGCTGACGCATTTGTGTGCTGGTTGCCTCTCATTTCTCCACTCTTCCTCGCCCTTCCCTTCCTGATTCCCAGCTGTTTCTGTAGCACGTCAAGTCTTTGTTGAGTGGGTATAAACAGATAAACCACGGGTCCCTTTATTGTCCCGTTAGGCCTAATGTTGATTTCTCAACATGTGTGAGTTTACAGCTACTTAAATTCCTTTTCTTTTCTTTTTTTTTTTTTTCCAGCAGTGCTGGGGATTCATCCCAGGACCTTGCACTTACTTGCTCTACTGCTGAACCACCTTTTTAAAATTTTATATTGATTGGGTCTTTCTTAGTTGCCCAGGCTGGCCTTGAACTCCTGGGCTCTAGCAGTCCTCCTGCCTCAGCCTCCCAAGTAGCTGGGACTATAGGTGCACCCCACGCCCAGCTTGCACTAAGAGTCTTCAGTGTCTCAATTCTTGCTAATCTCTCCCCGCCGCCCCTCTTCTTTTCCCCTTTGGTACCAGTGATTGAACTCAGGGACACTCAACCACCAAGCCACAGTCAAAGTCCCCAGCCCTTTTAGAGACAGGGTCTCGCTGAGTTGCTTAGGGCCTTCCTAAGTTGCTGAGACTGGCCTCCAACTTTCGGTCCTCCTGCCTCAGCCTCCCAAGCCACTGGGATTGCAGGCGTGCACCATCACACTTGGCTTAATTTCTATTTTCAACAAGGAGCAGTTTACTAACACTGATCTCTAGACTTTCTGCTCTTGGAATCCAAAGTATAAACCCATCTGTGGGGCTCCTAGGGTATGCAAATTCCTTCTCCCCAACTTCACTTGATTTTGCAAAACATTTACAGAAACACTCAGAGATCCAGTGAACGTAGCCAGCCTGTGCTGCATGGTAGACTTTCACCACTGGATATGGTGCATTTTTATTATTTTCTTGTTATGAATATTTCTTGATTGATTTTTTATTTAAAATAATATTTTTGTAGTTATTGAAGGACAGCATGCCTTTATTTTATTTATTTTTACATGGTACTGAGGGTTGAACCCAGTGTTTCACACATGCTAGGCAAGCACTCTATAACTTAGCTACAGCCCTAGCCCTTATTGACTTTTGTTTTTTAATTTTTTATTACTATTTAATTAGACATCATTTAAACCCTACCCATGTCTTCATGTACTTTTCCATACACATGCTCTACCTCATGACAAAAAAATTAACTGTCAACTGTACCCCATAAGTACATATTATTATTATATGCCAATTAAAATAGGATGGGCTGGGGGTGCACCAGGCCCAGGGTTCTGTCCTTGGTGCTGCAAAATACATACATACATAAGATGAGGTGCCATGTTGCCATAGTTGTAATTATTGACTGAGTTATAAAGAAGAGTATGGCGATGATCTTGAAATCCAGACCCCCTGTGCTTCCTAGAAGTGGGGGCTGGAGCAGGAGGAATCAGTAGCTCCTCTGGGGTCTCTTTAAAAGGTGAAGGCCCTTGCCAGGTGTGATGGTGCGCACCTGTAATCTCAGCAGCTTGGGAGGCTGAGGCAGGAGGATTGAAAGTTCGAGGCCAGCCTCAGCAACTTAGCAAATCCCTAAGTAACTCAGCAAGATCCATTCTCTAAGTGAAATACAGAAAAAAAAAAAAGGCTGGAGATGTGGCTCGGTGGTTAAGTGTCCCTGGGTTCAATCTCCAGTCCCCCCCCCCCAAAAAAAAAAAATGGTGGCCCCTGGCTTGGCCCTGACTGTGCGGCCCAAAGGCTGGACTTTGTGTATTTTATTGGATATAAATAATTCTCATGAGCACTGGTGGCTAGGCTCCGCTCTTTGGAGCTTTTCTGTTTTTGTAAAATAGAAGATGTCCCAGGATTTCTTGCACAGAGGTTGCTTCTCGGGGGGTCTACAAGTCCCAGCAAGGGCCAGACACCCAGCTGAATCCTTTTATTCATTTATTTTTAATTTTGTAGCTGTAGGTGGTCATGATGCCTCTACTTATTTACTATTTACTTATGTTTCTGTGGTGCTGAGGATGGCCCCGGGGCCTCACACGTGCTAGGCGAGCACCCTACCACTGAGCCCCAGCCCCAGCTGTTCTTCACGGTGGTTTTGCCGTGTGAGCGAGCGCTGCAGACGGTCGGGTCCTGGGTGAGGAAAGGCCAGTGCTGATAAGATCGTCTGGCCCTGATGCTGTCCTTCACAGCCACCGGCAGCCACGGGCTCTGATGGGTCCTGTGGCCTGGGACTCGCCGGAACTGAGGGGTGCTGTAGGCACAACGTCCACACTGGCGTTTGACGTCTTGGGACAAGAGAAAGGCTGTGAGCGCCCTCACTGACCCATTCTGAGTAGAGTACGTCACATTTTCAACCCATCGGGTTACATAAAAGGTGTTACTAGCAGTAGTTCCCGGGTCTCGTTGTATGTTTTAACCCGATAAATCCCCACTGTTCAATTCTGCGAGCACGATGAACGGGATCTTCTTTTTCTTTTCTTTTTCTTTTTGGTACTGGGGATTGAACCCAGGGTCGCTTAACCACGGAGCCCCCTCCCCCGCCCTTTTTGTATTTTACTTAGAGACAGGGTCTCGCTGAGTTGCTTAGGACTTCCCTAAATTGCTGAGGCTGGCTTTGAACCCGCCATCCTCCTGCCTCAGCCTCCCCAGCCGCTGGGATGACAGGCGTGGGCCACCGCGCCCAGCTTCAAATGTGGTGTCGGGTCCCCATAAGGAGTGTAGTTGATGCTCCAGCTAAGGTTCTTCAGGCTCTAGATCTGAGATGAAATGGGCTCCCGTGGCCACTAGGGAAGTGGCCGTGGTGCCGGGCTTGGTGGTACACGCCTGC